TGTTGACAGTCCTCGGGGCTAATTTGTTAATATACTGATCAGCAAATGGAAAAGGCATTTGCAAGAAATGCTGGAGGCATTTCAGCGAAGGCCTGAGGACTGTTAACACTTGTAAATGCCCTCGCGCAACATTACATGGTTTTCCACCGGTACTGAACTGAGAAAGATTGACAGCTGAAGCAACCAGCCAATCACAGATTTGATTAAGTGATTGCGCAATTTATTCACTTCGGCCATGACTAGTAAAATATGCGATACTGCAGTGATAATAAATACACGTTGACGTTTATGAATGTTACAGGTCTCTGGTTTAAAACTCTGAAAATATCTGCTGATCACAAGCACGAAAGAACAACGAAAAAAACACATGGATCCATGATCTTTGTTGACTTCTAAACAGGAAGTTAACGGAGCCATACTCTGCCTATTATTATAACCCAGTGATGTCATTTCCTTGTATGCATAATTAATATCAAGGGAAACTATGCCTTCACTGAATTGTCTGCCACATTTCTTGCAAATGCCTTTGTCATTTTTTAAATTAATATACCAACAAATTAGGCCTGAGGACCTGATGCTGGTTTGAGAATGTCACTCTCCTGGAAATTCTGCCTTAATACTTCCCTCTGTAGTTCATATACATGTATTTCTTAAACTTTCACCAACCTACTGGTTTGAGAATGTCACTCTCCTGTACATGCCTGTATACTGCCCTCTGTAGTTCATTTACTGGCAAACTTTTAATTTTTATGGTGTTTGTGAAGACAAAATGTGTCGCTGAACCAAGAGAAATTTCACTGCTAAATAATTATTGATTTTCACTCGCACTGGGTTTTATCAAATCTACTTCGAATCTATTTTATCAAATATATAAAATGTTTTATCTCCATTAAAACAAGCTGAACTCTGAAATCCAAGTTACTTGGTAGATTCTCTTGCAGTTGTTGCATAAAATCTGGCGATTGATACCCAAATTTGCATATCCAAAGACACTTCATACTTTACCCATAATCCTTTGCTTGAGAATCAAGATGGCTGACTACATAATACTGATATAAAGTTGAATATCTAGAGAATGAAAAGTGATATAAAAAATTTGTAAATTGCATTCTTCTACATTTGTGGAGCTTTTCCTTTAGGGGTCATTATGTTGTTTATATTGATGTTTCCTTTAAGTTTTGTTACTCATCTTTGTAAATCATCTTTGTGTATTTCCATTTCTTTGCAGGCATCCACTAAAAAGTGTCAATTTATAAGTGTTTCGTGTCATAAAAAGTGTCAATTTATAAGTGTTTTGTGTCATTAAAAGTGTCAATTTATAAGTGTTTCGTGTCATAAAAAGTGTCAATTTATAAGTGTTTCGTGTCATAAAAAGTGTCAATTTATAAGTGCTTCGTGTCATAAAAAGTGTCAATTTATAAGTGTTTCGTGTCATAAAAAGTGTCAATTTATAAGTGTTTCGTGTCATAAAAAGTGTCAATTTATAAGTGTTTCGTGTCATAAAAAGTGTCAATTTATAAGTGTTTCGTGTCATAAAAAGTGTCAATTTATAAGTGCTTCGTGTCATAAAAAGTGTCAATTTATAAGTGTTTCGTGTCATAAAAAGTGTCAATTTATAAGTGCTTCGTGTCATAAAAAGTGTCAATTTATAAGTGTTTCGTGTCATAAAAAGTGTCAATTTATAAGTGCTTCGTGTCATAAAAAG